TAACTATCTTTCAATGTCACATTGCTTAAGCCGAAGGGGATGTTCTTTCAGGATGGTATCACATGTTTTGAAAACTTCATGAGTTTACTTTAATATGTGAAAATGTTTTAGGGGATTTTGTTAAATTTTAAGTTTTGGAGTGAGGTTTTTTTCCTTTTTTTTTGGTGGGTGTAAATTGGGTTGAGGAAGATTTTGGCATATATAGAAAAATCTGGAGCTAGAATGGCTTTGTGACCCCAGGCTGTTATTTTAATGGACAAGCTGCTTATGCTCTTTCTGGTTTGTTTCTGCTGTCAACTGGAAAGGGCCCAGTTTTAAAGCAGGTTTAGCTTGAGTACTTCCTTCTAAAGCTCTTACTCTTCCAGGTTTCTTGGTGACTTCTTTTCTTGTTCTTCCCTCCTCCTACTTGCTGTTTTTGTGTCTTCCAGGAGACAACAGTAAAATCAAGACAGCAGCCAAACTCCCCACAGCTCTGACTCTCTCTGGGTTGGTGGAGGTGAAGGAGGTACGTACGTACTAACTGCTTCCACAGACTCCCTCATGCAGTTACCTTGAAACATAGGTGGCGATTGCTGGGGACTTGCTGGGTGACAAGGTGTTTAACTGCCCTGGCTTACTGTAAATATGCATGGACACTGCCTGCCACGAGCTTTAGTTACTGCAAAGGTAGTGTTTTTCTTTAGGATTGAAAATCCTGGTTGTTTACTGGAATGCTGGACTGGGTGCTGAAAGAAGGGGTTCTGCATGAGGTTAACCTACAATCTTACACTGCAGCTGCAAAAGGAAGTGTTGACCCCAGAGGAGGCCCAGTCAGTCCGAGAGCATTTGGGTTACCAAGGCAATGACCTTCTCATTATTCAGCTAGAAGGCAGGAAGCCCAATTTTGAAGTGGGATCCTCCAGTCAGCTCAAACTTTCCTTTGCCAAGAAACCTGGTCCTTCAGGTAAGGAGCGGTGCGTGCTGTCTGGATTGGCTGCCTCTCGGGTGACACACAGCCCTTGGAGCAGAGAGGCAGCTCTGGGGTAGGGAGTGCTACAGTAAAAACCTGTGAAGTGAGGCTTTCCAAAGCTGTTTGAACTCTCCTTGTTGGGAGTCAATAGGGCAAAGGATGGAGTAATTACTATTTCTTCCTTTGTTTTGGCTTCAGGAAAACCCTCTGTGGACCCAGCCGCTGCCAAGCTGTGGACACTGTCTGCCAACGATATGAACGATGAAGAGATGGTATCTGGTCTTGTTTGTGAGGCTTTGCCCTTGTTCCTTCTCTCTCTCCTCTTCTTTCCTATTCTAAACAGTGTCAGTCATGCCTCTTGGGAAGCTTTACAATTAAAGAGGTAGAAAAGCATCCCCAGGGCAAAATGTCTTCACTACTATGTGGGGTCTTTGAGAGCCCAGAAGTGTGGTGAGGGCAGAGAGGAGACACAGATAAGAGGGCACAGCTGCAGCACTTCCGTGCTGGTGCTAGAGGTAGAACAATTTCTTTGAACATAACACAGCAATGTCATTCTCTACTGACAGATCACTCTCCTGCATATTATCTTCCATGTTTTCAGGATCTTCTGGACTCTGATGAGCTGTTGGATTCAGAGGATTTGAAAAAGCCAGATCCATCTTCCCTCAGAGCTCCATCCTGCAAAGAAATGGGCAAAAAGAAAGCCTGCAAGAACTGGTCAGTGCTGGGATTAGCATATCAGTGAACCTTTTAACTGTAACATTAAACACTTAGAGTTGGATGGGGTTTAAAAAGATTGGAGACACTTGCTGTTCTCCAGAGCATAGTTCTCTTGGTTCATGTTCTTTCTTAACTATTTGAATGTCAATCCAAATACAATGAGAATTGACTAGCCACACCAAAACTGCTACAAACTCCCAAATTGCTCTGATCAACAGTCTTCTTGAAGGTGGCTACAGAGTTTGTCCAGCCTTGACTAGAAGCCTGGTTTCTCAGATTTTCAAGGAGAAATAGCACACATAGCAAGTGCTGTAGAGTCATTTCCCACTCAGTTTAAACTTGAGGAGTGTGTTTCAACACTCGTTATACAAACCCTGGTGTTGAAGAACAAAGTGATGAGCGTGAGAGTCCCAGAGTCAGCAGTGTCGTGTGACTGTCAGGGCTGTTGCATGTGAGTAGGGCTGGAACAAATGTTGGTGACTCACAACCTTTAAGCAGAAAGATGCAGGTAACATCTTTCTTTTTCTACAGCACATGTGGCCTGGCTGAAGAGCTGGAACAGGAGAGGAAGAGCTCACAGCCCAAATCTGCCTGTGGAAATGTAAATAGTTGTTGTTTCTATACTGTGGTTTGTGGGATGTGATTTGTGTCTAAGAACTGCATTGTCTAGTGACTGCTCCCTAAGCTGGTTTACTGCTTCCAAACACGGCTGGTGCAGCTGCTGCAGAGCTTCAGCCTGTTGCCCTGTGCCTGCGTGCTCCGTAGCAGTGCTGCTGTCTGTTCCAGCGGCAAGTTCCCCCCTTGTAGGAGTCACAGTGAACAGCAAACCTTTACCTCCCTGCTTGTGTGCTAACCAGTGATCGAGGAAGGTCACCAGGAGCACAGGAGGACCTGGTGGTGGTTAGGGGACTGCCCAGGCCCTGCTTGCAGCCATGCCCGAGCACACCAGCTGGGGTAGAAACTTCCTTCTTCCCTGTGAGCACAGTGCCCTGTGTTAACCAGATGTGTGTTGAGATGGGCTAGAAGGGAAGTGGTTTCTGTGCTGGTACATGCTGAGGAGCATGTCATTGCTTGAAAACCCATATCACCCGGGAAGAGAACTGCAAGTTGCCCCTGATTACAGCAGGTGATTTTCTTTCTCTTGCCAGTGCTACCTGGGGGATGCGTTCCGCTGTGCCAGCTGCCCTTACCTGGGGATGCCTGCCTTCAAGCCTGGGGAGAAGATTCTCCTGAATGAGAACCAGCTGCACGATGCCTAACGAAGACATCTCTGAATGTCCTGCAGAGGACTCCCTCTGCTTTTCCATCAGTCTGAGGTTCTTCCTGCAGTCCTCCTCATCCTCTCAAACTCAAGTTCTCTGGCCAATACTCCTTGTGGGGAGGGACGTTGTGGGCACTGACGCTGCTGTGAGCTCATCGCTTGTAATCAGCCTTGGGTTACCTACTAATCTTTGGTGACAAGTGGTCTCATATGTATTAGACATCATGTTACACCTTGTTTCAGCTGGCTTGACTTGATAGTGGGAAGCAGAGGGAAGTAGAATCAAGCATCAGGTTGACCTTGTGTGTGTTTGTGCAAGACCCGTGATGTACAGCTCCAGTTTGCCTTCATTTTCCCTGGTGAATCGGCAGCTCTGGCTCAGCTCTCAGGGTGACACTGGGCTCCTGCTCTCTTTAAAATTTGAACCTGCAGTTCCTTACCCTGTGAAGGTGGCTGAGCAGCTCCTGTTGCAAGTCAGGAGCAGCGAGTACAGCTAGGAGCAGGTACTCTTACCAGCCTGCGTGAGCTCCTTGGCACAGGCATGATGAATTTCCAAGTGTTTTGAGAGCCTGCCCATGATATTCCCTGCCCCCACCTATTTCCAGCAAAATGACAAGAGATTCACTGAGAAAACCCCTGCCCTTAAGGCAGGGAGCAGATTAAACAAAATCTGCCTTGTTCCACACCTTCCTGTCCAAAGTGAACTGATAACACAAGGGCAATCTGAGACCGTCACCTCTCTTGGTGGTTACCACGTGAGTTACCTGCAGTGTCCAATAAGAACATAGCAATAACTTAATTTCTAGATGATTTGTGGTCACCATCTCCTCCCGCTCCATGAGATACTGACTACTCTTTATTTATTTGTGTAATTACTGCTAGCAGAGCATCTCTGCAGAGGGACCTGTGAGTGATCTGTGCCAGGCTCACTTCTCACCCAGGCAGGGAGAGGAGGAAAACCCAAAGCCTGTGTCTCAGCAGGGATTGCTTTGTTTGGAGCTCTTGCTGTACAGGATGTGACTGCTTCTTGTTGTGCTACCTGAGTTACACACTAAACTCACCAAGGGAGCTGGGCTGAGAGGCTGTTGTTCTTGAAATAAAAGTGACCAATAATAAAGCATTTGTTTTAAGACTGGTATTATTGGTGTTCTAAGTGTATCTCTCCTTTTACTCAGCCTCTCATTGAGTTCGGGAACTGTTTAAGTGTTGAGTCCTGTCTTGGAATTCTCCATAAATTATTCCACTGAAAACATGACTCAAACGTGTGATGCCCACTGGAAAGAACAGAATCAAGCTGCCTAGGTTAACTTTTTAATTTGGTCTAGATTTCAGAAAGAGGCTTTCTCCTGGTTGAGTAAGGAGAAGGCAGCTCGCAGGGAGAGAAGAGAGGGGGTCCTTGAGGTGTGCAAACCAGAGCTTGGAGGTGGAGGGACAGCTGCCCTCCAGCAAGAGCACCACGGCTTTCCCAGACTCCTTCCTCGCCCTCTTCCCCAATCCCTGCTGCTGTCATCATGAGAACAACAAAGAAAAGGGGAAAAGCCGTCGCACACCTGTGACCTTTTGGGCTTTTATTGCCTTTTTTCAGCCTCACTGGTAGTGAGACGTGAGATGTCTGCATGTTTCCATGTGAAA